TAAAGAATATACAGTTTAGCAGAATTGGCAGCAACCGAATAAATTTAATTCAACCAAAAGATAAAACAAAAGACAAATACTAACTTCACAGTGTTAAAAAATAAACATTTTAGCAGTATTGGCAGCAATCGAATAAATTTACTAAGCAATCTAAGTAAAATGGTTAATCTAAGTGAAATTACGAGTAAATTTATCATCAAGTTAAATATGGAAAATCTTAAACTTACCTCGTTGCGTAGAGTATGAACCTCATTCTGCAACGATACTACCATCTCACGTAGAGCGGCAACCTCACCATGTAAAGTAGACACCTCCACACGCCATGCATCATCGTTATCGCGTAGAGTACCGATCTCCTCACACAAGGCATTGACCTCATCACGTAACTCCCTTGACTCATCCCGTGGAGGTGGAGAACAGGGAGATAGAAGTCGTGGCATCTTTGCCGGTCGCCTATCATGAGGTGATGGTGGAGAAGAGTCTCGATGATGTGACGTGATAGGTGATGGCTCTCGTTGTAGAGGTGTATAGTCGGGTCGATCAGGTGATGGCTCTGGGTGAGGTGATGGCTCTCGAAGTGGAGGAAGTGGAGGTTGCTCATCATTCGTGCCATCAAGAAAACGCTGACTAGCTTGCCACCAATCAGTGGCAAGCTCAGCCTCCGTGGGTGTCAGTCCATGTAATGGAGTGTTGGCCTCCTAAAAATATAAAAACTCAAACAAAGTTAAACGTCTACTATTAATAACTTGTTTATATATGATAGTATTTGTGTTAACTTACATTAGTTATTGTCGCATATGTTATTAAGTCTTTCCAATCCAACAGACGTTTCCTCTTCCAGGAAATAGCCCTAGGAATATCATTTGAAGTTTTTAATGCATATGTCTGCATGCTGGGAAAAGCCTCGAATATCCAAATCTACAAACAATATAATAACAAACATTAGTAATTGTTAAATAATTAATTATAATTTTGAAAACATTATATAGAAATTCTTACCTTAAAGGCCCAAACAAAGTCTGACAAAGTGTATTTCGACCCATCGCCACGCAAACTTTTACGGTCATCAAAGGCAGACGACAACTTAGTCCAGGTAGCTTTCCATATATACGAACCCCACGGAAACAGATTCCATGCATTTAGGTCATCTACCAATAATATTAGCTCCTGAGGAATAGGTTGTCTGGCCTCTCTGCCTAAAAAGCTGGCATACAAAAGTACTAGAAGGCATACTTGGACAACATCGACGTCATTCATCCGAGTAAAACCATCTTTCTTATTAAAAAATTTCTTCAGGTCGTCGACGTGTAAGTTCAGCTTCTCTATTGACTCATCAGGAAAAACCCAGGATAACCATGATGGGCGAGTGATATGACGAGTGTACCGGCCTACATCATCGTGTCCGAATCGTAGACCAGTGATTAAACAGAACTCCTTCCGCCCAAAACAAGTATACGCCGGTGGAAAATGAAACCATATCTCTTCCTCACCACGTTGTATACTGTCGGGTAGATCGCTATTCATGGTCTGAAGCCACAAATGGGTCTCCACCCTGATGCTGTATTCTCAGCCATGGCCCGAAGCAGGTTTCCTCAAACTATTTTCTTTGTGCAGGTGAAAGCTTTGAAGCAATTGTAGTGGCTAGGCTAACTTTATTCCTTAATGTCAATGAAGATGAAAAAAAATTCTACAAAAACAATAAACATACCAAGTTAGATATACCAAAAACTATACTGTGAAGATATACCAAAAACAATAAACATAAAGAGTAGTAGTTTATTCTTGAAACTAAAATTTGCAACACTGTTTTGTCTTTTGGTTGAAATGAAAATCGCAACGAGAGAATGACTATTGCAACGCGGAAATGACTATCGCAACGCGGAAATGACTATCGCAATGAGAGAATCGTAACGCGAAATTAAAATCGCAACGAGAGAATCGCAACGCGAAATGAAAATCGCAATGCGATTTTGGTTTCGTGTTGCGATTTTCATTTCGCGTTGCAATTCTCTCGTTGCGATTTTCATTTCTCTCATTGCGATATTCATTTTCGTGTTGCTATTTTCATTTTCATGTTGCGATTTTAAATTTAGAAACTATTCTTCTTCTGCAAATTGAAACTTTAATGGATTACATTACTTCAACCAAAAGACAAAACAAAGACAAATACTAACTTCACAGGGTTAAAGACTAAACAGTTTAGCAGTATTGGCAGCAATCGAATGAATTTAATAAGAAATCTAAGTGAAATGCTTAATCTATTATTGAAATTACCAGTAAACTTAACATCAATTTCAATATGAAAAACCTAAAATAATGTAAAAATTTCAAAATAAAAATAATTAAAAAAACTAACCCTCGGAGGTTGATTTTCCATTTCTGAATGATTGTGATGGATTTCTGACCGTGAATGGTTGTGAGGGATTTCGCCAGAGATGGGGACGGAAATCTTCGGAGATGGGCACATATTTCGCCGTAGAGAGTGAGAGATGGGGATGGGACTGAGTTGTGATTTTAGGTTTTAGGTTATGAGTTGCGATTACGGGATATACTGTGGATGGTTCAGTGTTCCGATAATTAATATTCGTGTTTGGAATTTGAAAATAAAATATGCGTAGCGATTCTAATGGCGCTTTAAAAATCGCGTTGCGATTTACGGATACGCGTTGCGATTTTACGTATTGTCGTTGCGATTTACGGATACGCATTGCGATTTACGTATTCTCATTGCGATTTACAGATACGCGTTGCGATTTACGTATTCTCGTTGCGATTTACGGATACACGTTGCAATTTTACGTATTGTCATTGCGATTTACAGATACGCGTTGCGATTTTACAGATACTCGTTGCGATAGTCAGAATCGCGTTGCGATTTATATGTTCGCGTTGCGATTTTCATATTCGCGTTGCGATTCTTGAAAATCGCAATGCGAATTTGTACTATCGCATTGCGATTCTTCATAATCCCGTTGCGATTCTGGGAACTGATTTGCGATTCTGGAGATCGCGTTACGATTTTTATTTCGCATTGCGATTTTGTTGGTCATTTTGGCAAATCCAAAAAAAAGTTGGTTAAAATCGTATATTATAAGGCATTTTTGGTCACTGAGGCGATTTTCTCTTTTCTGAAATGCTCCCTCTGTTAATCTTCTTTGCAATTGCTTTTGCTCCCTCTATCAATTTTCTGAATTGCAATTGCCCCGATTTCATTCTTACATATATATGGTTGAAAGATTTTTTTTATGTTCAACTTGTTATTACAGGGTATGGGTTAAGCTTTTATCATTCGAATACCAACTACCTACCTGACTGCACCTACGTGAGTGACATGCCATGCGACTTTGTCGGCCACGTGAGAAGGAGACGCATGCGACTTTGCCGACCATACGACTTCCTCGGCTACGCATGGCTTTCCATGCTTCTTCGAGGGTTGGCAAAAACGTGTCGACACCAATGCGTCTTCAAGGGGCCTCGGCCAGGATGGCAACGCGACTTCGGGACACTCTGTAGCATTCATCCTATTCCACAAAATAATTTCTACACAACATTATTCGAAGAATTATTTTTTCCGAGTGCATTATCTTAAAAATTCAGCCATATTTTTAGTGTGAAATTCACTTGTGGAATGATCATTTACATCAACTGCATCTTTCAAAACACGTGTCTAACAGAACGTACAATTACCCTACACGCCATTGTAAGGTTGAAACGTTATATAAGAGGACTAAATTGAAAAATATAAAAATCGAAGAGAAAATTATACGAATTTTATATAAAAATAAGTAAATGTATGTTACATGTCGAAAACACGTGTAAGTGTTAGCATTAACACGAGCACAATTACGATTCGAACCAGATGAAAACTACAATAAATGTACGAATCTTATCTTTAATCACTCAAAAAATATATGTTAAAAAATATATTTAAATAGTTAAAAAATTCAAAATATAATAAAAAGGTTAGTTTAACAACTTTTATTACAATGTATTCAATATCTTATCCTATATATCCACGTTCTACAAGCAATACTATATAAAATTTTAGCTAAATCAATGCGTGCAAGGGAGTTGATATGATCACTCAAAGAAGGGCGATTGATGTCATTGCATATTCTATAAGCAATACCATATATGCTTTCTCCCCAACTTTATTTCCTAAGAATGATCCGTGAATTACGAGCATTGTCCATATATGCTTTCTCCCCAACTTTATTTCCTAAGAATGATCCGTGAATTACGAGCATTGTCCGGTCATAAAAGGAATCTAGCCGTCTGAAATTTGCAATTTCAATTGTTTTTATGACAGAAGTAACTGTTTTCTTGGAAATTACTTCAAAAAATATTATAAGGCTCCACTTTAGAAGGCAGTATTGTACTAGTATTCCCCAACACTGACGATTCTGCGAAAATGGAGAAGATAGAGCAAACCACGGTGACCACCAACGGCATAAACATGCACGTGGCATCGATTGGTTCAGGCCCAGGTATCCTCTTCCTGCACGGTTTTCCGAGCTTTGGTACTCATGGCGCCACCAGCTCCTTTCACTGTCATCTCTTGGGTACCGTTGTGTGGATCCCGATTTTCGTGGATACGGTGACACTGACACCCCCGCTTCGGAGGCTTCATACACCAATTTCCATGTCGTGAGGGATCTCGTGGACCTCCTCGACGTGCTTGGTGTCGAGCGTGTGTATTTGGTGGGACATGATTGGGGCGCACTGATTGCTTAATCGTTTTGCCAGTTCAGGCCTGATAGAGTCAAGGCTTTGGTGAACCTTAGAGTTGCGTATCAGCCAAGGAACCCTATGGTGAAGCCCGTGGAAGAGCTCAGGGCTTTGTTTGGCGACGATACTATGTCTGCAGATTCCAGGTAATTGATTCAGGCAACACTTACATTAGTTGTTTTGATTCTTTGATTTTACTTTGACTGTTTATAATACTACTTTACGCTCTAGGAACTTGGGGAGATTGAAGACGACTTAGCTCAATTGGGCACTGAAAAGCTTTTTAAGTTGTTTTTTACCTCTCGTGATCCACGCCCATTTCGTATATCTAAAGAAACTGGATTGAGAGGGTGGCCTGATCCCCCTCCCCTGCCCTCCTGGTGTTCCTAACACGACATCAATTACTTTGCCAACAAATTCAACCGGACTGGATTCACCGGAGGTCTGAACTATTATTGATCTATGGACCGGTAGGTCGTTGAATCTAGCATGCTAAGTTATTGAAGGAATGTCATTTGTATAGCCAAGCTAATTCAATTTTGTTCGCTGCAGGAACTGGGAACTTACGGCACCTTGGACTGGATTACCGATCAAGGTACCGGTTAAATTCATCGTAGGCGACCAGGGCATTACCTACCACATCCCTGGTGTAAAGGAATACATACACGACGGTGGATTCAAGAAAGACGTGCCTTTTCTACAGGAAGTAGTCGTCATGGAAGGAGCAGCCCACTTCATCAACCAAGAAAACCCAGAAGAGATTAGCATGCACATTTATGACTTAATTAAGAAATTCTGATTCTTGGCCCCTGTATTCTGCTACTTCCCTTGCAAGTTCCAACTCTAAAATAATGTGTTGAGACCTTACACGATACAGTATTAAGAAAATAGTTAATGCTCAAATAATTTTGTGAAAACCAATCGGGTAGGAGGAAAGAATGCTCACATTTTGTATTAATTTTGTTACGAATAGTGATGATTGATTAACAACAACAATTAGAATAGTGACGATTTTTTACACAAGACAGAAGAAAACATCCTATCATCACGTTGTTAAATATAATTTAATGATTCAGATAAAAATAAATAATATCAAAAGTTTAATACAAAATTTTACAGGTTTAATGTAAAAAAAATGCCTAAATTATGCGCTAAGTTAATTTTAGGTGCCTAAAGAAGTTTTCGTTAAAAAATAGGTGCATAATATTTTCTCTGTTACACTTTCAAGTGCATGAAGAAGTTTTCGTTAAAAACAGGTACATAATGTTTTCTCTGTTACAGGTGCCTATGTAGTATTTGTCATTAAAAAAATTTGTTAAGTGACACGTGTGTTATTTTAGGTGTCATTAAAAAGTGTAACATTGGAAATGTTAGACATCTATTTTTAACGAAAAATTCTTTAGACACCTAAAGTTAACTTAGGGTATAGTTTGGACACTTATTTTTTGTATTACGTCGAAATATAAACATGACAAGTGTCACTTAAAGAATTTTTTTAACGGTCGTACTAGGCATGCACCTAAAAATATAACAGAGAAAACGTTAGACACAACATTAAACACCTATTTTCAATGGAAAAAATCTTAAAACCCTAAATTATAATTTAGGCATTTATTCTTGCATTAAACTAAATTTGAATTTTTTAAAGCTCCTGTATATGTTATGATTTTGTAGTACATATTTTATATATATTTATAACATATTTTTCTTAATAATTTTATTATTAAATACTTAAATATTTATAAAATATTAATAAGAATTAAAGTTAAATTTTTATAATAAATAATGTTATTTAAAGTTTAAACTTATATAATTATGTAATTATAATTTGTACAGTCACATATGCTATAAGAAATTAAGATGTTTTTTGTCCGACAAATTCAATTTTATTCATTTAATTATAAAAGTGTTTAACCTGAATTATGAGTCCGTCAAGAGTTTCCCTTATTCTAATTGGAGGAAAAGAGTACAAATCAATAGGATAATAAACTAAACAACTTCATCAATACATTGTAACCATACTTGCATATTACAACACAAATCTAAACCACCAAAAGCATCAACTCCTTAAAGCTTACCATTACCATCAAACATTGAGTAATTCATGTCTTTTTAATCATGCTTTTACGAGACAATCATCCATAATGTATCTTTTCTACATGAGCAAACTATTGGAATGATCTCTTCAAAGATTCCACCACCTCCAAGGCAAATGACATATAAATGAGAGGTGGTTTATTATCTTGAGACAGTTCTAACGCAACACGTTTTTATTTTTCAGACAAGGAAAATCAAACAGAAGCAATGCAACTCCATGTTCAAACATGTCTAAATAATTATTAAAACAATAATTATATTTTTATGTAATTATACGATGATGTCCAAACATGTTTTTAATATTTTATATTTTTATAATTAAACTAAATAAGAACTTATATAAAAATGTTAAACCCTTATATTTAGATAAGTATACATACAATAACGTCATCGGCCGGCTTATTTCCGACGATTCCGCACAAGGAACTCCGGAAATGCACCATAGTTTTATCGTTTGATTACAGATTCACACGAAGTAATTAGCGTCGTTAGGGTTTTTAGGATCTAATGAAGGGTTAAACTTAATAGCATCTAATAAAGGGACGACGACGGAGAGACAGATGAAAAAACAGACGATGAATACAATGATGTCTGTGATAGACTTCATTGTTTTCACCTCCTGTTTAATGATTTGCTGCCTTTTAGCTCGTTATTCAAGATAATACATATTGAGACAATAATTTTTCAAAAAATGGTTTCAATAACATAAAAGACAACCGCCCGTATTAATTTCTAAAAATGATGAGAAAAATATATGCAGACAATCCATAATTATCGAGCTCTCTTCTTAGTGGATTTGCTTGTTATTAGGCCGAACTTGGTCAAGATTTCAAGGTCGATCTGTGAAAATGAAACGTTTTAAAGTTTTCACTAAAAAACCGAACATAATATTACATTATTAATATTTAATGATCTAGTGATTACATTAAAACTAAAATCAAAATTCAGTTTCAAAATAAAAATGTTATACAATTTAAGGATAAAATCAATACAAACTTTAAAATTTAATGATATTAGAGTAGTTTTACCCTTTTTATTTTAGTTTTACGTATCAACCAATAAAGTAAATAGTCCCCAAACTTTTAGAGGGATTGCATTTTAGTCACCTAACTTTTGAAACTTGTAATACAATCATTAAATTTTTTGTTTGTTTTCAATAAGGCCTCTTCCATTACCTCCAGTTAGTTTTTGCTGAAGTGGCACCTAAACCCCGTCAACCCCTCGTTAACCCCCTTCTTCTTCCTCTTAACCAAAGACGGACAGAGGAGGGACAACGACAAGGAGGCATGACTGACTGGGTTTTAGTTGGAATGGTATGAGGACTCCAACGGTGGCGGCGACATTGTGAACGGATGGCCCAATCGACCAAAAATCAATGAAAACAAAAAAGGGGAGTTGGGGTTTTCAAACGAGATTCAGGGCCCTTTCCATGGCGAAAAGAGATGAGTCTTGGTGAGTGGTTAGCAGGATTCTGGTTGGAATGGGGCGACGCTCCTACTAGTATTAGCGGTGACGGTTACCAGCAATTGACGACAGAAATAGGGGATGGGTGTTCGAACGGTCTTCTCATGATTTAGGATGAATGATAGATGATGAGTATGAATAGAGGGCCAGGGTGTGGTCAGGAGATGATGTCGGTGGCAATGGTGATATGAGCCACCGTTGACCGGAGTTGGGGTGACCAGAGGTATGAGTGAAGAAGAAGAAGAAGAAGAAAAGGAAAAAGAATAAGGGGGTTAACGGGGGTTGATGGGGTTAGGTGTCACGTTAGCAAAAACTAACAGGGTAACGATAATGACCTTACTGAAAACGAACTAAAAGTTTGATAATTGTATTGTAAGTTTCAAAAGTTAGGTGATCAAAATACAAACGTCCTAAAAATTTGGTGACTAGTTATATACTTTACCCTTAGGTGGCGTTTGGTTGGATGGAATCCCTTGGAATTGAGGGGAATTGGAATCCAATTCCACTACTTTCTCATATTTGATTCAAGTTTTCTAAGGAAATTGGAATTTCTCATGGCTTCAACTTTCCATCAAACGAGGGAAAGTGAATTCCATCCAAGAATGGATGAAATTCAATTCCTTTGTTGGAGGGAATTGAAATTTGACCATACTACCCTCATCAATCTTTTGGTAATTTATTTATATATTGAATAAAAATATTTTTTTATTATTTCGGATCGAGTCGGGTTTCTAATTCATATATTCGGGTCGGGTCGGGTGAAACTTTATTTTGGTTGGGTCTATCGGTTTTTTTAAGTGTGATATTTGAGTCGGGTCGAGTTCAGGTTTAGGGTGAAAAATACCTGACCCGAAAATATATATAATTTTACCTTATATATCTAGGAATAATTACAATAATACCCCTCTCTCTATATATTTTTTCAATTAAGTCACTGTTTTTATTGAATAAAAATATTTTTTTATATTATTTCGGGTCGGATCAGATTTCTAATTCATATATTCGGGTCGGGTCGGGTGAAATTTTATTTTGATCGGGTCGGGTTTTTTAAGTGTGATATTCGGGTCGAGTCGGGTCGAGTTTTTTAAGTGTGATATTCGGGTCGGGTTTTTTTAAGTGTGATATTCGGGTCGGGTCGGGTTTAGGGTAAAAAATGGGACCGACCATAAAAAATATATAATTTTACCTTATATATTTAAGAATAATTATAATAATACCCCTCTATATATAATTTTTTTCAATCAAGTCAATGTTTTTATTGAATAAAAATAATTTTTTTATTATTTTGTGTCGTGTCGGGTTTCTAATTCATATATTGAATAAAAATAATTTTTGGTATATTTTTTTGAAAGTAATTAACATACTCCGATTGAAATGTATCGAAATATTATTTTATTTTTTTGGTAACTTATTAACATATTTTGATTGTGATGATTTTAACTTATGATGTTTATTAGTATGATTTTTATAATTTATTGAAATGAATAATCAATCAATAAAATGAAAATTTAATATTTTTTAATTTTTTATAATATATTACTATATGTAAGTTGTAAAACAAATTAAAATAAAGCAAAAAAATAAGAAGGGTAATTCTGTCATTTTACATTACTGAAATCAAATTCATCTGACATGTCTGTGAACCAAACAGAATATAGAATTAGATTCTAATTATTGACATATTCCAATTCTTTCACAGATTTCAATTCTTTCACAGATTTCAATTGTTTCACAGATTTCAATTTTTTCACAGATTTCAATTCCTTCACAGATTTCAATTCCTTCCCAGATTTCAATTCCCTCGTAAACATTCCAGCGAATCAAATCACACCTTAAAACATTTTTAAGATTTCGATTCAAGTTTTAATGGAGTAAAATAAACATTCCAAACCGAAATTTGTTTTTCAAGCAGACGTGTTCAACCCAATAGGGAAAATAACATAGACAGTGAACGCCATGGCGGATTAAACTCAGTAAAGACCATGACCGTGAATCTCAAAACCGAGAGGCTGAGTGGAAGAATGGAGGGAAAAACTTATCTGGAAATTGGAGCTGATGGCGTGGCTATCATCACCATCAACAACCCACCTCTTAATTTGCTCTCCGTCGATGGTTGCTTTCTACCCCATTTCTAAATTTTTAAGCTTTAATTGTTTCATTAACGGACTATAACTTTTCTGTTGATATTTTTTCTTCTTTTCCCCAGTGATGCTTAGCCTAAAGGAGAACACTGAGCAGGCTCTTCAAAGGGATGATGTGAAAGCAATAGTAATTACAGGTAAACGGAGACTTAAGATAGTTGTGTATTATTGCCTTCGGAGATGATATTCATCATTTGTCACTAAAACAGGTTCAAATGGGAAGTTCTCAGGAGGTTTTGATGTCACAGCTTTTGGGAAAAAGGGTTAATCCGAATCATCCTACTATTCAATTTGAACTGATTCTAGTAGTATACGTATCATCCTACTATGCAATTTGAACTGATTCTTGTAGTATACGTATAATATGTTTTACTCAATCTAAATCTGCATATCACAGGAAAGCATGGGAAGCTTGGATTTTGGTCAATAGATTTTGTCACAGACATTTTAGAGGGTATATTTGTATAGTTTTGTATATTTTATTAGGAAAATTATTTGATACACAGGCCGTAAAATTTAGTTTACACAATCCATTTTAATGTCATTTTTCCTATTTACGATTTAGAGGTTAGAGTTTAGGGTTTAACATTAAAATAGATGAGGTAGCGCAAACTATATTTTACAGAGCCTGTGTATAAAATAATTTATTATCTTCTATCTGTTTTTTCTTCTGATCTTTTGTTAAGATAATTTTATGTGTTGCTTTCTTAGCTGCCAGAAAGCCCTTAGTAGCTGCTATAGATGGCCCTGCTTTAGGTGGGG